TTTTTTTTTTTTTTTTACAGTTATTGCCCAATGAGAAACATTTGGTTATGGGAAAAGTTTAGCACTTTTTGCAACAAAATTTTTGTTCTTTTTAGCAATAATAACTGTTGACGTTTTTCAACAAAATAATTCTTTTTTTAAAAAGATGGTTACGCTACTAAAGTACAAAGTGTTTATTTTAATTTCAGCCATATGTATAAGGGCAATAATGCAGTTTTGAAAAGTTTCGTTTTTTCCTTTTTCACTAATCTTTCATTAATTTTAGAAATTTAGTACGGTTTAAAAGTGCTTTAATTGAACCAAAGAGAAAAAAAAAAATCTGAAAATAAATATATAAAATGAGTGAAACTGATCCGCAATTTGTCTGGTGAACTGAAATTTTTTTTTAAAAGTCAACTGTTTAACAATGTTTAATTGCAGATTGTCAACCTTTGAATTTTTGTTGCTCATAACTTTTTCTCTGAAAACACTTTTATTATACAAACGCTGTCATTTTGTTTTAGATTTATATCGTTTTTAATTAGAAAAATATTTTAAGCACAAATTGGAAGTTTAAAATTTGAAAAAAAATTTTTTTTCTATTCAGTTATATTAATAATTCATTAAAATAGTTGCTATTATAGTTTTCTTGACAATATTATTAATAAACAGCATAGTTTTGAGCAGTCTGTTACTTTGAACACGAAAAACCAGCATTTTTACTTCTAAAAAAAAAAAACAAATCGTGTAATTTACTTTTAAATTAACAATAGCAAAAAAATGAGTTAGCTTTCTGCTTAATAGTTTTCAATAGACGTAGAAAGCAAATGAGTTATTGAAACGTGAAATTAAAATGAAACAACAAAATCAGAATAGTATAAAATAGGGATATTTCACAAAAATTTATTGCTGGTTAAATGTCTGCGATACCACTGAACAAAAAAGCAATTGAAACACAAACCTCAAATCTGCACAAAAAATTTTACCTATTGAAAAAATCTTTGTTCATTTGTTGTTCAAAAAAAAACCAAGCCAGAATTAGAACTATATGGCTATGATACCAAATAAGAGAGTACACGATAAGATCATATAACTAGTTTATTTTTGCACTTTTAAACGGTTTTACTAAGAAATCATTCACTTTACATGTAATTTTTTTTAGGTGCTATACTTGTGCCTCACTTGAATACGAACACCTCTACAAAAAGTTTCAATCATTTCGACATTCCATGAAGCGTCCACTGTTTGGCAGTTTCTGTGACAATGCTAACGAACTTCAACGGTTAGCACCATCGCTTAGATGTCGTACCACCTGTGTAACGTTGATGGAACCACAGTATTTTGGTGGTAAATCTTTTTCTGTCTTTTTTTTTTTTAAACTTATCTTTTTTTATCTGTAGATATATACTTTTATACCTATATAATCTAAAAAGGCTTCCGCATTCATGATACAGTGCATTGGTCTACCATTATTTGGTGGTTCACATTTTTTTGTTCTTTGGCTTGTCAGTTGAATAGAAGCCAGGAAAAAGTTTTAAAAAAAGACTGACTGAAAACTGCCAAAAAAGCTTATTGTCTGCTTTTCTCCTCCCCTTCTCCCCCCCCCCCC